ATAAGGATTAAAACACAGCAGCCATCAGTATCACTGCGTGGAAAAAGCATTTTCCATTGCCCACATGCTTTGCTAAGTTACCTCAGTACTGTTGGGTACAGTTCAGAAGTGTAAATATACACAATGTTGAAAGCAGCGCTGACCATCATTTTTCCACACAAAGCTAACAAAGTGGGGCTGAAGAACAAACCTTTCAGGAGAGAGAAAATAAACTGTAAGCATAAATAGTCTGTTTTCTTATTCTTTTTATATAAAGTTGAAAACAGAGGTATCATCCAGTCCTTTTTAAGACACTTCCACATAAAAACAAAGCTCAGTCTATATTTTTTCAACTACAAGAGTTAACCACAAACAACATCTCATGTTTCTCCTCAAACAACCTAAAACTAATGTAAAGAAGGAATACATGAGATAGAAAATTGTCTTGGTCCTAAATATAACTACTTCTTTTTGGAAAAGCTAAGATTATCACAGTTCTAGAAGGCAGGGCTAAGACTTACAGCTGCAGTGTCAGAAAAATCCTATATGGTAATTGCATTTTTCGGTAAAGAACAAACAAACAATTAAACCTCCTACACTAATTTATTAAATTAAAACCATACAACTTGATCCACTGCTACAGCTTATTTGCTCTCCCAGGACATCCTTTGGAAACTTAAAATGCAGCAGTTCTGTAAATGAAAAGAACAAATGCTAACGCAGAGCCTAGCTTACTAACAGGCGATCCTTTTGACTAAACAGGAGTGCGAGTCTTTTAAGAGTCCCAGAGAAATACGTTCCCTTCGTCAACACTGAGTTCAGAGAAGTTTTGGTTTGGATCAAGTGAAGTTGGCTAGATATGACAAAGTCTGACTGCTTCTCAACCGTTTTTTTGTTTTAATGTCATCCTTGACTATTTTCAACTCTACGCATCTGATCAAGTTAGAGCCTATTTCAACTGAAGCAGAAATTTTATTTGCATATAAACTGAAATCCAGAAACTTGATTTAATTTGCAGTGTGATACATTTCGGCAGTATTTCTGTAATTCATGCAAAATGGACACAGCCTGTTCATCCCAGTTCTCCTTTTGCTGGATTACATGGAGTTGCCAGCTGCAGAGGTGTGAGCCCAGGCCTCAGAGTTCTGCTGGGCACCAGCAAGGCTGGGACACTCCTTTCATTCATCAAGCAAACATGAAGCAACGAAGAATAGATCTGTAAATCTCAAACGCATCTTAAAATTTCCACGCTGTCTCTCTCTCAGCGACACTTAAAATTGAACATGAAAAACCCTACATTAGAAATTTAGCATTGCTGCACTTGGGAAGGTCCGCTCTTATTGTCAAAACAGAAGAAAGAGTTTGTCCAGACAGAAATTAGCACTCAGAAGCTAGGGAGCGAATTTAAAGTGCACTTTCATCTCTGCATTCCCTCCTCAGGGGAGGCTAAAGGCTGTCCACATGAGGAATTAATGCAGGATTAGAAGCACACTAGAAATTCACTACACATCAACTCCTTGTGCAAGTAAACTGAAAGACGTACTTGTATCTTCCTCGAAGTCCTGGAATGTATTTCTACCAACTGTTACGTAATATTCCATGACTTTTCATATGTAAAGTTAATACTACTAAGCAGGAACGCACTTTCTGCTATGTGGATTCTGGTAACCATTTAAAGGTCATTCCCTGTTCAATGAAACATGTCCATGCAGAATCTTTAGTACTTCTGTTATATTTTTGCCTAAGATCCTTTCACCTGAAGGTCTAGAAGCAATAGTCGCATGCACAGAGTTGTGTCTGAAAGAGT